AAGTATGACTCTATGCGACTGTACCAAGCTCGGGGAGCTTGTTTGAGTCTATACAACGCTTTCTTGAGTATATAGACTTTTGATTCTTTCCTCTTCTGTTCATAACTTATAGGTTGATTAACAAACACCTCTTCATTAATTTCTCCATGCAGGAAGGCCGATTTGACGTCAAGTTGGTAAATCAACCAACTTTTATGTGCATCAAGGGAAAGCATCATTCGAATTGTATCTAAGCAAGCCACTGGTGCAAATACTTTTGCATAATCCACTCCATATTGTTGGTTGTATCCCTTAGCAACTAGTCACGCCTTATACTTGTTTACTTCCCCATGCTCATTGATTTTTGTTTTAAAAGTCCATTTCACTCCAACAGTCTTTCCTCCTGATGGCAGATTTTTTAATTCCCATGTCTCATTCCTTTCAATTGCTTCAATTTCTTTATTCATGGCATGTCTCCATTTTTCACTTTTCACAACCTCTTCAAATGTCGTTGGATCACTATTGGTGAACAAAGCTAGATGAGCTATATTCACACCTTCTTCATCAGAGAGACCTTGACCAATCTCATAGTTTCTCATCCATACTGGGGGCCTTCGTGTTCGTCCTTCTGGAAGTGAATCTTCGATATTTAAGGTGTCTCTTTCAAAAAGGTTGCTGCTATTGGACCCATTTTCCTCCAGTACTTCAACTGCCTCAGACTCATCTTCATTGTTTTCCTCTTCTGTACTTGATTCTTCATCGACTTCCCATTCTAAATCAGCCACTATGGCTTGCTTGTGACTATTATCCCAACTCTACTATTGGTTTTCTTCAAAGACCATATCTTTGCTAATAATTATTTTCTTTGAAATAGGATCAAACAACCTGTAAGCTTTAAATTCTTCACTCAGCCCTAGCAATACACATTTGAGACTCTTGGCATCAAGCTTCACTGTCTTGTTGTCAGGTACGTGGACAAGCGATATACAGCCAAAGACTCTGAAATGCTCCACTGATGCTTTGAGTCCATTCCAAGCTTCTTCAGGTGTCTTGCTTTTCACAGCAAGAGTTAGACTTCTATTCAGCACATGCATTGTCCAATTCACAGCTTCAGGGCAAAAAGTTTTAGGAATTCGCTTCTCTGACAACATACTTCACACCATATTCCTAATGGTTTGATTTTTCCTCTCGACGACACCATTTTGTTGGGGAGTATATGAAAATGTTAATTGTCTGTGTATCCCATTCTCATTACAGAAGCTTGTGAACTTTTGTGATGTGAACTCACCCTCTCGATATGTTCTCAGACTTTGAATGAATGTTCCTGTTTCCTTCTCGACCCTAGCTTTGTAGGCTTTGAAAGTAGCAAAGGCTTCTGACTTTTCTATCTAGAAATAAACCAAGATTTTTCTAGTGAAATCATCAATGAATGTAATTAGATACCTTTTGCTGCTGTTTGAAATTGGATTGATCGGGCCAGATATGTCAGCATGCACCAACTGAAGAATTTTGGAAGGTCTCCATATGTTTTCCTTTGGGAATGGATCACGGTGCTGTCTTCCTATCAGACAGCCTTCACATACTTGTTGAATAGCTTTGAACTGTGGTAACCCTTCCACCATCTTCTTGTGTTAGAGTACCTTGAGTTCATTCCAGCTGAGGTGTCCATATCGACAGTGCTAAAGAGTGGCTTGGTCCGTGGTCAGAGAGGAGAAACACTTTTGCTCTCTTGGTGGTAGGCAGTGAGCGAGCACAACAAACATTCTATTACGAGTCATCTCAGTTTCAATGACTAAACCTTTCTCAGGATGAAAGATCTTACATTTTCCTTGTTGAATGATCACAGCAAGTCCTTTTTCTTGCAAATGTCTGATGCTTAGCAAATTGTTCTTCAGTTCTGGTACAAACAAAACATCCATGATCACATGAATAATTCCATTCACCTTCATTCGAGCCTTGCCTTTGCCTTGTACAATAAGACTTGAGTCATTCCCCATCTTTACTGATTCTCTGAAACTATTATCAAAGTGAATAAATATATCACTCTTGCCACACATATGGTTGCTACACCCAGAATCAAGGAACCAAATGTGCTATGTTTCAGCTTCCTTGAAATCAACATGCGCCATCAACAACATCTCTTATTTTGTCTCTGCGTAGTTTGCCTTTTGATCCTTTACTTTCTTTGGGCACTCCCACTGAAAATGCCCTAGCTCATGATAATTATAACATTCTAGGGTTGATTTTTCAAACCCAAATCTACCCCTTCCTCTTCCTCTTCCACAATGGGTACTTCGACCTCCGCCTTGTCCTCCTTGCTGTGCTCCAAAAGTGACTTGCAGTGCTTGTTCTTCCACTACAACATGGCGACTAATTCTTTGTTCATGAACCAACAGAATACTTTGAAGCTCATCGATGGACAAAGTATCCAAGTCATTGGATTCCTCAATAGAACATACAACGTAGTCATATTTCGAAGTCATAGGCCTCAAGATCATCTCAATGATCACCACATCCTCCATGTGCTCCCCATAATCCTCATTTTATTAGCAATGATGAGAGTTCTTCCAAAATAGTCGTTGATCGATTCTCCATCCTTCATGTGCAGCACTTCAAACTTTTTTCTAATAGCCTGCAATTGGGCACGTTTTACACGTGCAGTTCCTTGATATTTCTGCTTCAAGGAATCCCAGATGTCATTCACTGTGTCATTCTTCAATATTGTCTCCAAGATCAATCGATCGATGGCTTGGAACAGTAGTTCTTGCACTTCAAGTCCTTCAACTTCTGATCTTCAATCGCTCTCTTTTATGCTTCACTTGGATCAACTCCTTCTGCTGCTGCAGCGATTCCCGTCTCCACCAAGTTTCAATACTCTTTGGAACGTAGAAAGTTTTCCATTAGCATACTTCAGTGATCATATGTCTATCAAACCTAGGAATGGTAGGTTGCACGAAGTTGCTTTCAGACGCCATATCTTTGTTCCTTCACGCTGGTGACTGTGTTGCAAGCTTTGATCAAGCCCCGGGGTGGGGCTCTAATACCAGATGTTAGAACGAAGAGAATAGCAGAAAGCTTTTGTGAACGCAAAACCTGCTTGCACTAGGAAACTGGGAGAATTCTTATTGAATTGAATAACTCTTGTGGTTGATAAATAGCCTTACAATGAACATAGGAAAGGAAACAACAACCCACGATTTTGCAGGACCTAGGATCGTGGTGCATGACTAAGTCAGAAACAGAAAATGAAATCTTGTCCCTCAAGTATAGGAGAGATTATTTGCATGACTACAACTAAACCCTGAAAACAAAGAATCCTAACGACTAGGAAGTTCCAACAACTTTATCAGTCCCATCACCCAAACTCTCTCGCCGATTACGACCTGCAGGGACCTAAAATTTTCTTTTCGAATTTCAGTCCCCCAGCTCGGCGAGATCACTGAATTGAAGCAGTAGGACGGTTCCGATTCCCAGAAGCCTCTGCTCATGGCCGTGAAGATTCTGATTTTATGACGTGTCACACAGCAGGTAACATTTGGTTTTTTTTTTCCGTAAATTATTTATTAATTTTTTGCTTTTAAGTTTGGGTTATGTGTTTTTGATACTGATTATCTGGTAATTTTAGCTCCTGGGTTGTGATATTCTGGATGCTTTTGTGTTTTACGTTATTTTCGGTAGATTTCTCCAGCGTAATTTTCAATGTTTTGTGGATTTGTAAGCCATGGGCACTTAGTTCACTAAAAAGGTTAAAACTTTGGAAATCTGGACTTTGGTGTTTGTAACTATATAATTCCATCTTCTAAGATGATGGAATTCTGTCGAATTAGACCAACAAATTGTATAACTAGAACATTACTTGGGTTCCTTTCACAAGGAGAATTCTGTTTAGCTTATTGATATGTTATACGAACATTATTTCTTGAATTCAACATAATTCTGCAAAACTGAATTCAATGCTGTTGTCAGTACGATATATTATAATTCTGACTCTCCTCTTCAGCTCTAGCCGCAGGCGCTTGAAGGCGACGGATTGGATTCCGAAGCTCCAACAATTCCGATTGAGAAAGATTTCAATAACAACAAGGTGATGGAATTCAACGTTTTGTGTTTTTTATAGAGGCATATTTGCAACAGTGTATCAGAGAATATTGTGGGATAGTCTATCCGGATAGCTTAAAATGTGTTTCATGACGCATATCGGTGAAGCGTGTTTGGCTACTTTTTGGATTGATCATTAATTTTTTTGCTGGTCTTGGCTGGTACAAATATAGTGCCTTTGTTCTGTTTTTTGTTCTTATTTTTTCATGTGGGGCATAACTTAACCTTTTGTGTAGTAAGAAAGCCATAGAGAGTCACATTTTTGTGTTTTTGGATTTGGTTAATGTTTCAATCGTAAACGTGGTTACGCAATGAAAGCAAGGACACACAAATGACAAATGTAGTTGGGAATTTGTAAGTTACATGCAAAGGTCATGGAAAGTAAGCTTTTGTAATGTGTCTAATGACATAGTCAATGAGTTATCCACCTAATGTCAACTCTACAACGGTCATCTACGAACATTGTAGTCACATTCCGTGGGAGACATTTCAAAGTAAAACATTTACTTCAAATGTTTCGTTTTTGGTATGAAAAAACATTTATTGTTGAAATTTTCCATGGTGTTTTGTTTTATAAAAGATTCAGGATGGGGGTGTTTAGCTTTCATTGATTGGCATCATTTTTCAAATTTTGTCTGTGCTTTTGTTTGTAGGATCAGCTTGCAAAAGAACAGAGCAGAGCACAAGCATTATCAATTTATTTGCTGAAGTATTGCAGCTGTCTGCACAACTCCAACAAGCCACGCCAAGCATACAATGGGCTTGCGCACCTGTAAAGCTCACTCTCCCTCTTTCCCTCCCACCATTTTCTTCTTATAAGTTTCTTGCTAACATCAATTTGTATATCAGTAAAATAGGAGCTGTTGGATTTTGAACAACTCTTTATATGCATGTAGAGTTGTCAACAACTACTATATATTTTATATAAGTACTTTGTACATGTTTTGCATAAATAGTTTTTACATATTTACACACAACGCTTACAACACATTTAGTTCCTCTTTCTAACACTTAAGTACAATGCTTATAATCAATTTGACATTCCTGCGGCAACGCAGGGGCTAAAGTTCTTGCACACACACACATGATGGAGTTTTTGATGTGCCTATAGACACGCACATACATAACTGAAGACCTCATATACATGGTACACGCACACACACACAATGGAGCTTTTGAATGTGCCTATGTCCAGGTGAAATCTGTAGAGCAGAAAACAATCGGTTCTAGTAATGCATGCAGCTTTCTCTTCCCTTTCTATCTCACTTCCTCTAAAGAGAAAATGTGTGAGCCCTGCATTCATTAGCAGCACTCGTAACACTCAGGCGGTAGCATTAACAAAAACAAATTAAAACTGTAGCATTGCTAATCACGATATTGATGCACCCATGACCTTATAGCTTATACTCGTTTATTTTATTTATTTATTTTTTTTTCATACAACGATATTGGGAGAGGAGGAATTGAACTCGGGACCTCTAATATGGTCTCAACCAACTGAGCTAAAAAGTCCCCTTGCAACATTATATATACAGTTATACTTGTCTAGTTGGAATAATCTTGTAATTTGGCAAGTATAATAAAAGCTCTACCCAGAAATTAGAACATTGATGTAAAATGAATAAAGTGAGTTGGTAAATAAATAGAAAAGAGGTTAATTACCAGAAGTGGAAGGCCTCTTATGCAACTAAACAGCATCCTCTGCTTCCACTATGCATTCACCTTCATCATCAGAATCAGAAGTGGAAGGCCTCTCAGGTAACTCAACAGCATCCTCTGCTTCCACTATGCATTCACCCTCATCATCAGAATCAAAAGTGGAAGGCCTTTCAGGTAACTCAACAATGCGTTCACCATCAATATATATGCTGGGGATGTGAGAAATCTTGGGCCACTCCTTTCCTCTGCCTTTTTGGCAACCTCGTGCAAGATTACCACAGTCGTTGATGACAAGTGTCTGAAGTGGTGTTTTCCGCAAGAAGTCTGGCAGTGTTTTTAGCCGAGAGCACTCCCAAATCTCTAAAGAAGAAAGGCATGGCATTATGGTAATATGAGAATCCTCTTCCTTCCACTCTTCCACTCCTTTCCACTCTTCCCACGCCTCCATGGAGATAAAATGGAGTTTTTTCAACTTTGGGAATAGAGTAATGCATGATGATTCTGATGACGTTTCCTTTTCTATTCCCAGAAACTCAACTCCAACCTTTTTTACTCCTTTTATTTCCCAAATGGTCAGGCTTTCGAGGGACGGCAATCTTCCCAAATGAGGTAAAACTTCATGTTCTTTCCAATCACGAAGAGTAAGAAATCTCAAATTGCTTAATGACATGATCCAGTTGGGGGCAGTGCTTCCATTATGCCCTTCAATATATACAGATTCCAAATTTGGATGCGGTCGTAAAATATTCAGTGTTTCTACGCTACTTCCACGACCAACAAACCTTATCCTCAAATTTGAGAGTTGTTGTTTGTTCCCTAGGGGCGATGCTTTCTCGCCCTCACCTGCAACAACTTTCACTTCCCCATCAATTTCTATGCCGAGTCCACGAAGTTGGTCTAAGTTTCTCAAATCTCCCAATTTGAACACTTCATCGTCGTCTTTACCACCGCCAACAGGGCACGCATCTAGTCTTCTTAGATTTGTTAATCTCCCAATCCCTTTCGGCAAGTACTTCAACTCATCGCAACCCTCAACATAAAGATGCTTTAAGTTAATCAACTTTCCCATGCTCTGAGGTAGACTTTCAAGTTTCCAACACCCGCGAAGGCGCAATGTCTGCAAATTGTATAAATTACACACTGCATTCGGTAGCTTTTTCAAATCATGATTGTACGACAAATCAAGAAACCTCAGATGCACCAATTCACCTATCTCTTCCGGAAGCTCTTCAATACAATTATCACTCAAATTCAATGTCCTAATATGTTTCAACTGCGAGATTAAAGTTGAGTCCACAACATTAAATTTTGAATCAAAAGTTGCAAGAGTACGTAGATCGCAGCTGGAAAACGAAACACATGAGAGTGGACCCTCGGGTGCAAGCATTAAGGTCAAATGGCGGATCTTATCACCCAAGGACTTTATTGTATTGTTACCAACCTTAACCTCCATTGTAAAGCATTCATGTTGAGTAAGATACTGCAGAAAGTCGTGCACAATATCATGCATTTTACACCCCCAGATATCTCCATCACTGTATTTTTTGAAGTCTTGGAAGAAGGACCGCATTACTAAATTATCAAAACACCTTTGGCCAATTATTTCCTTCTCTGTGTTTCCTTTCGAATAAAGATAATCTTGTGACATCCACAACTCAATCAAATAATCTTTAGCGATCAAATGATCTTTTGGAAAGATAACACAATATAAAAGGCATCGTTTGACCGCAGGTGCCAAATCAAAATAACTCAGTAATAGGGGTTGGAAAACGTGTTGCTCAACCTCTTCAAGGTCCCATATCTTACTGTTCAAAACTTCTTGCCATTCTTTCATCGTTTTCTTGTAACGCATGAGACTACCCATAGCCTTTGCAGCAAGAGGCAAACCCTTGCAATTTTTGGCAATTTCTTCACCAATGGCTTCCAACACACTATCTTTATCTCTACTTAAAAATGCCATGCAGTTGAATATTGACAAACAATCTTCTTCGCTCAACCTCTCCAAATGGATCGTGTGAGTGGGAGCTCCCATCATACGAGCAACTTCCTCTTTTCGAGTGGTCACCAATATTCTACTGCCATGGGCACCATTTTGTATTAATGGCAACTTCAATTTCTCCCACTTTCTCTGGTCTTCAGTCCACACATCGTCCAGGACAAGGAGAAACTTCTTTCCCTCAATAGATTTAGACATACATTGCAAGACAGTTTCCAATTCATTTGAATTTGGGCTGGTATCTTTTTCGACACCCTCAATGATGGCTTTGCCAGTTTTGATCTCATCAAAAGGGTTCGAAACACAAACCCAAATTTTGATATCAAAACAGGCTTTAACATTTTCATCGTTAAAAGCCTGTTGGGCCAGAGTTGTCTTCCCCATTCCTCCCATCCCGACAATAGGGATGACAAGGAGGCCCCTCTCTTCTTGACTACTCTCATTCAACAACTTGCTGACCAAATCTTCCTTTTGTTGTTCTCTACCAAATACGATAGATTCATCAACAAAAGAGGAAGTTTTCTCTCGCTCAGGTTGTTCAATGATAATTCTCTCCAAGGATTGAAAGTTATATGTTTGCCTGCGCTTAGCAATCTTATCTAAATCTTCATTCAGATGTTTCATCTCAAGAGCAATGTCATGATGACGAATTACCCGTCTGACTTGACCAAAACAAAAGCAAGAGGAGGGAATAGAGAAACATACCGCCTTCATCTTCTTCTTAGTAACAAGAGAAGTACTTCCACCGTGCTCTTCTTGTTTCTCAACTTGTTGTTTCTGTATTTTAGTGTTCCACTCATCCAGCACATTGTCCATCTTGTACGACACGTCTGTCAGCTCCTCTAGCCATTTTCTGACGCTTTTCTCCTTCACTTGCCTCTGCTCCGCATCCTCAAGCACAGCATGAATCACTTCAAGGTTGGCAGCAAATGCATCAACATCTTTCTTAGCATTCAAAACCAGCTTCACCTCTTGTTCGACATGTTGGTAAGTTACCGAAGCTAGTTGTTCGAGAAGCATGGAAATGAGTGCCTCGGCCATTTTTCGGTTACCAGTGGAAATAGAGAAAACCAAGAGATCTGAACCAAGAATTTCAGGATTGGTATGGTAACAGTATTACCGTTCTGATAGCCAAATGTTGAGATTAGAATATGGGCGTGTTAGACAAATAATAATGGTAGGGGAAGAGGTGAGTTATCCCTCACTTGTTGAACAATTATTCTCTTTTCTTCTTTATACAATTGCACTCAGGAAGAAAGCACGAATCTTTGTCTCAAAAGAAGTTAGATAGACAATTCACACAAAGAATTTTAGAATTGGGTGGCGTGGAAGAAACAATTGTTGATTTTGTTGGCTTCGTATCATCTTCGACTTGCGAACGAGAAAACTAAGAGTCGATTTGAGATGGGATTCCATGGCTATGGTCTCCAAGGTCGACGGTTGAGTGGGAAAGACGGCGAGAGGGATTCCATGACTAAATGAAGGTGCTTTTCTTTACAGAATAGAATTCGTCTATGTCCTGGCTATATGCGGTTGTACAATGCACAAGTAATTAAGTAATAGAGATGATGCTTTCACTATGATACAATGTTATTGAGCGGTAGAAATTGTGTTGAATAGTGTTGAACTTGCATTTTACATAATGTTGTATAAGTTTGGTTGATTGTCTCGCATTTTGACAAGGAATCTTTGAATATTTTGATGAGTAAATTAGGCATTCCTCTTCCACGGTTTAAACATATTTAGGGAGGAATATTTATCTATTTTTAAATTAATATCTATCCCTACGAACTACTGTTTCGTTATCATAAGTTGTATTTCTTGCCGAAATATTACCTTTACTAGCGAACTTTTCGTCGCAAGAGATACCTTTCCCCAGCAGGCTAGGAACCCTTCTTCGGGATAGGTACTTTAATTTATGCCCACGAAATAGGTTAACCTGCGGCTTCACTTCGCTAGCTAAGATTTATCGTGAGAGATTTTTCCGGTAAAACTTATTGTAGCCGTTAGACAAGATCCTTGATGGCAAGGATATGCTGACGAAATCTTTTATGGGAAAAATTTATCTTTACCGAAGAAAAATTTTATCTTTACTGAAGAAGTTTGACCTTTCCTGACAAAAATTTTCGCCTGGATAGTCATCTGGAAAGCCTTTTATTTGTTTTTTTGTTTTTTTTTTATAGTACGTCAAGGGTACGTTTGTTGCACCGGACTATCTCGGACTGAATTAGCTTCAGGACTAAGCTGGACTGGCTTAGAATAGACTAAGTTGGACTAGCTAAGTGAAGCGTTTGGTGAAGTATCGAACTAAACTACAGACTAATTATTTTTTATTATTATTTATTTACTTTTGCGTTTAAAAACAACAAAACAACGAATATTAAAATATTATTTGTAGTTATTTAACTTTTAAAACCTAATTAATGTTTCATTTGATGCCTTTACTTTTATGTTAGAAGAACAGCCTTTATAGAACAGACCGATTCAAAGAAAATCCTCTATGCTTCTTCATTCCTCTCCGCCTCCTGCCTCTTCACTTCCTCTCACAAAATCGGTTGCAAATCTTAAAATCAAAACACATAGCAAGAAAGAGATTGAAGGATGCGAGGTGCATGTGTGATTGGCTCGAAGGTAGAAGATGAGGGTTGGATCTGGTTTGGGTTTTTTGGGTGAAATTTTCAAGCTCATCCCACTGCAAATTTTTTTTTGGTTTTCTGGGTTATCTGGGTTCGAATTTTGGGAGTTGGATCTGATTCTGAAAAGGGAACCTTGGGAAATTTTGTTACTTTTTTGTTTCGGATTTTGCAGGATCTGGGTTTGAAATGGGTTGTGGGACACGAGGAAGAGGTAGATGGGAGGACGAAGCGGGCAAGAGTGAAGCAGAGTAGAGTGGTCGTAGCAGTCCGCCCAATTTCAGGGTCTAGTTAGACTTAGTAGGCGAGTCTCATTAAATGTAGTCCCCGCATGAAACAAACACCGGATTACAATCCAGTCTAGTCCAATAAAGTTTAGTGAAGCCAAGCAAACGGACCCCAATATCCTTAAGCTGGAGCTAGTGCAACTTAAGAAGACAAATTTGAGCCCAATAAATCAGGCCTAGGACATGTCGAAATAATAGGCTACTCTGATAAACTTTAAAGGTCTAGCAAGTCCACCACCAAGATCATCAATATTGTCTCTATTTAACTACCTATTACTATTTGTTAAGTTTTATTAACAAATGCCTCGGTGATAATAGAGGTGAAAACTCTCATATATTAATTGTATATTATTGTATTATATGATTGAAATGAAATCCTATTGTCTAACCAACACTACGATACACTGTCAATCACAATATAGTGTTTATAGGAAGTATGTTAGCGAAACGTTCAACAAAATTTATTTTCTGACAAAGGTTGAATCATATATAAGCTCATCACAACTCTTTGGTACAAGTGTAAAACTTCTTCCATATGAATACAACGTCGTGTTAACATAATCATATCTAACATTTTCAATTTCTTAATTTCTATAGTTGTAGTATTCTTACAACCTTTAATCTATTTGATCCTATTATGCGTTGAGATAACATGTACTTATATATATACGCGCACACACCCATACAATATTCACATTGAACTCGTTGATATATTTGTAATCTTTGTCAGAGACTAAATGCTATTCTAACAAGTCATATATTTTAACACTCTTAATTTCTTTTTCATCCAAATGAGAAGAATAATGGAAAGAAATTAGAGATCGAGAGAGAGAATCACTAGTTAGGGATGAAAATAGCCAAATTTTGAACCCCAACTATCAGAGTATTCGATCAAATACTAAACAGATTCTAAGTTGCAAAGAACGATCATCCAGACATGGAAAATAAGACAAATATCAGGTTTTAACAAAACAATAAGCTACAACAGGAAACAATACATATCACTGTTTGAAAAATATCATGAAATTGCAGTTGATCTTTCCTCCTTTTTTTTCTTTTATTACAAGTGGTCTTTTGAACTCGAAACGTAATAAGTTGAAGAAAAAAACTCTAATGACCCCATAATGGCTCCGCCACTGACTATCGCACTACGAATAAAGAAATTATGGAAAATGCTGAGAAGGTGACTGACGATTACGTGAAAAATTTCGCCAGAAATACATGCAGGCCATGTGCAGCAAACACGTTGAATTTGTTATAGCCTTTTGGTCCACTCTATAATAAAGGAAGGATGCTTCAAACTTTTCTTCATGCCCCCCTTGAATCAAAAGGAACACATGACATAATCAATGGAAGAGTTTGAAAAAGCCTATCTATAACTCAAACGTGAAATTTAAGAACAAAAACGTTATTTCAGTTAAAAAATGTGAGATGTTGTACAGATAAAACATAATCAAAAGAACAAGAAATTCAGGCAGTTCTTTCATCGACAAACTCATTCATCCATACAAATAAATCACCAAATGAGTAAACCTAGGCGCCAAGTTGGCGAGAGCCACGTACTTCTCTACACTCAAATTCAAATTCATTTCTTCTTAGACCATAGTTTAGACAAATTAAGCGTAAATTATCTAATTGAACAACGCTAAAAATATCATTATAACCCGAAGGCCCTTTGGCACGCATGCAGTAATTACGTAGAAATATGGTGAGCTTGACGTCCAACCAGAATCTTCTGAAAATGGTAGTGTTTTCGTAATTGGGTGGGACGCGACGTTTAACCCAATTTCAAGGATCCCAAATCGGGAAGTCTTCATCAAATAACGTCTCCATGGAGGAAAACTTTGTAAGTCAAAAACTGGGGGCTCCAAAATTACCTGGAAATTGAACTTTATCAATACATTTGACCTCCCATTGACCACTTTTCACCCTTCAATTCCACGCGTATACTCTAAAATTTCTGCTCTATATATCTTGTACTCTTTGTAAATATTCCTCCATTAATTTCTCTATCACTTCATCATTGGTCTTGTTCTTCATGCAATAATCGGAAGAAAGAAAACTCCACGTACTTGAAAAACTTTCGGTGCGTTCAGATTTTATTTTGAGGTGAAACGATAGCGGTTTTTTCAGTGGCGTTCAGATTTGATGATTCATTCAAGGGCAAACCCAGAAAGCTTCTCAATGCATTCTTTAATTCTTCATCCAAGCAGGTAACCGCACCTTTTTTTTTTTTTTTTTAAATTTATTTATTTATAAATTAGTATTTAACTACTTTTTTTTTTGTTTAAATTAATTAACTAGGTATTTTGTTAATTATCTAATTTACTAACGTTATTGCTTGACTTAAAAAAATAAAAAATAAAAAAATAAAAAATAAAAAATAAAAAATAAAAAAATTAAAAAATAAAAAATAAAAAATAAAAAAAGAAGAAGAAGAAGAAGAAGAATGGTAGTGCTTTTATTTTATTATTTCGAAATTATATTACTGCTCTGCTAGGAATATGTTAATCCCCCACTTTCAATCGATAAAGAGTCCAAGTTGTAACACAAATTTTACCGCAAAAACTACATTTGTTGGAACTTATTTTGAGAGTCTGAATAATAATTCTCACGTTGTAAGTTGAAAGAAACTTTGGCTACATTGAATCATATTCAAATTTTTTGGTTTTGGAGTGGTAAAATTAGGGGTGCAACTGGGTTGGGCCAACCCAAATCCGTCCATGTCCAATTCGACTTTAAACCCGAATAAGCAGGTTATTTTTTTAATTATAACCTGCCCTAACCCAACCCAATTTCAACCCGTTCATTGATTGGGTTGAGTTGGGTTAATCATTTGCCCAACCCAACCCAATTAACCAAAACCCGATTGGGTTAAGCTGTGCAACGTGCTTCTCAATGACCTTTGCACCTTTGTGGAGGATTCACTAGTGACTTTTGATGGATTATGATAGAAAAGTGCATGGAGTTGTAGAAAGCAATTGTTTTTCTGGCAGCCACACTTTGATTTTTGCTTGAATGAGGCTTGTAATCTATGTCCAGTTAGGTACTAGCTTTGTTTTTCTGCAGGAGCTTCGAAGGTCAAGACTTGAATTGGGTACTAGCTTTGGACAATGAAGTGTTCCTCTCATTTTTTTTCTTTTGGTACTAGATTTGGTATTCCTTGTAATTTAATTCAAACTTTGCATGAACCCGATTAAAACTTGAAAAAGTTGGGCAACCCGAACCCAACCAAAGTAAACCTGAACCCGATTAAATCCGAGCCCGAATGAACCAGATTAAAACCCAACCCGAATCCAATCCCAAATTGTAAAAGTTGGGTTAGAATTGGGTTGACATTCCAACCCGCCCGAATTGCACCGCTAGGTAAAATGCTTTTAAAAGATAGTAATTGAAGCAGCTTAGTTCTGGCTAGTAATAAGCATCACAAATTAACAAAGTTATGGTTGGTTTAGAATTGCCTTACACTAACGGAAGAGGGAGTTCGGCTAAGCCACATAATGGGCAACCTAATTTGGTATCAAATTCATCATTCATGAGATTTGAACCTAAGACCTCTCACTGCCAAGTGAAGAGGAATACCACCAAACCATAGTACAAAGTGACGGTTTAGAACTGCTTTTAAAATGGTTGAAAGTAGTTTTTGTGAAAATAATTTTAGAACCAATCTTTAATAAAAATATAATTGAATCCTGAAAAACACTTGAATTATTTTCGACATTGAAGGAAACACTTTAAATGGTCTTGGAAC